GGAGACGTCTATCTGCTCTCTGAGAACAGCCATCTCATCATGGAGCTGCCGCAGCTGACCTGTCCAAACCGGAGTCAGTGTTTGAATTAGAGACAGTGTCAATTTTAAAAAAAGATTAATATTATGCATATGCTTCTAATCCACAGATAGATGTACCTTCAAGAAGTTTTATCTGTTTGGCAGAATCATCAGCTTGTTTTTTCTTCTCCTTTGTCTCTTCCTCCAGGATACCTACACAGCATTTAATTGTACCAGTCATGTCATTTATTTGGTGTTGGGTGCATGCACACGTGTGAATGCAATAGAAAATGGAGTGGATGGTCCTATTTAACATTGGAGATGTGGCGTGTCACCTTGTAGCTCCATGCATTTATGTTTCTCTGTGTTAGCTAGGTCCTTGGCCTCTCGAAGTTCATCAGTCAAGCGCTGAATGATTTTTTCAGAGTCACCAGAGGAGCCCATCTTTGCCTTGGTCAGATCATCTAATGAAGAAGAAAAAAAAATGGGGATCCCAGTTAGAAGAATCATGAGCTTAACATGGACAGGCTCCATACATTTGCCATAAAACTACAAAAATAATGAAATGTTTGACAGTTTTACTTTTACTGCAGTCCCAAATATTTAACCAGGACTGACATACTAGATGATTTCCCAAGATATTCAAAATGGGCCTATTACATAAAATAATTGCTAACCCAGAAATAGAAACAAGTGTCTTATCTACACTTTTTTCATTCCAAATTATCCATTACCCCAGTCACATATGAGTCTGTAGCGATTCTACATTACTCATTAATAGTACCTAAACAATGCACAAAGGGAATAGGCTTGCCAGTGTTGTCAAGGGTCTGTTGTGTTTCCTGGAGGTGGAAACAGGCTCCACAAATACTTGTGCTTTGCAAATGCCTAGTGAATATCTCGAGCCCCTAATCTACCACAGCTAGGAAAAGAGATGACCTCATCCCAGAACGAACATTTGGCAGGGGACAGGTCAAGCATGTGCACCATAAATGGAGACGCACCAGAACCTGAACTGCCCTGAAATCCAATATTTATTGTGAAAACTGTGTCTACATCCATCAAACATGGCTACATAATCACACAAAAATCCACATGATTGTAAAAATGTTAGCAGGCGGTATTGATAAGTGTCCCTAAAATGAAGCGGTGTGAAACAAAGGCTGAGAGCTGGTGACACCCTCTGACTCGAGCACATGACCACCCCGCTGTGTGCCAGACAAAGCATGGGGGGACAGTGTGATTGTGTGTTCCTTCATATGCGAGTGAGTGGGCACCCTGTGAGTATGCAATCTGTATTCACTTTGTGTGAAAGATGAATGCCCTACAAAGACAGCACAGGGAATAAAGGGTATTTCAAATGAGGGTGCAACATGTTATCTTTAGCGAGATTAGTTATTACGGCAAAAATGTCTTAGTGTCACAGAATGACACCTGACAGCATAGTAATGGAATTAGTCTGTGTGTAAAAATACCTTGCAGACTAGTTGGGAATATTGAGCATCACACTGCCTCAAGTGACGACAGGAAAGAAAAAAATTGAGGAGAAAGTCTTTTTTTAGCTCCGGTGCTGAAGGCTAGACCCATCGTGGCCCATCTTCGCCTGCTGTCTGTTTCCTTCTCATTGAATGTGACAGCATTCTTTAACTGAATCAGGGGGTTAGCACCACTCGCATGGAAAGTCTACAGTATTCCTTTTAAACTGCTGATCATAAAGGGAGATCATTTTACAGCTAACAAATATTCTTTATGCAGCTGAATCTCAAATATCTTCATCTCTCTGAATTACTGAGGTACACTATTGTTGTGAGGACACTGTTTGCTTTGTGCTCCCTATATATTGTGCAGTGAAGCATTACAAATTCATTCATCATGCAAAATTTATTCAGTCACCAACGTACTTGCACTTTTTCCTATGAATGTCCCCGTCGATTTTCATATTCGCTATATTGCGCCATCATTGCGCTGTCCTTTGCATTCTATTCTTATTAGTCACCCTAAATGTCATAGCTAACACACATCAGTCAGCTGACATGCCCTCTGTGCAAAGAGACTCCATCTTCTAATAAGCTGTTGACACAGGAGACACTAGCCTCTAAAACAAGGCCATCTACAGCACCGTAAGCTCTAAAAGCCATCCAGCTGTCCTTACAGGGCCAGACACTCATTTTAAGTGTGACTCAGGGTTTTCCACCCCCCTTTCCACACTCAGTTAGCGAGATGTGCTGTGTCAGGTAGGAGCCATTAGAGGAGCAAAACAATGCAAAGTCATTCACTTCAAATCAGTGGTGTCTATATTTACCTTTAATCACAGATACGTTATTCAAGGGATCACTCAGCTCTTTCTCATCCATTTTCTTATCTATAACAACATAACAAAAAAACAAAAAAAAAGACAAGACATATCACATGCACAGATAAAGAAAGAAAGCTTTAAATGAAATTAATATTGCTTAAAAAGACCCCAAACAGACCTGACAAAATCTTTTGTTCTTTTTCTCACTGTTAGATTTGAGATGTTTTTAATTGTAAACACAAAAATGTTTGAACACACAAATACTACTGGAAGAGACAGGTGCAGAGAGCTGCTAGGGAAGAAGGATTTTAGGAGTATGTTACAGTAAAATAATTAATGAAGGGGTTAAGAATAAAACTTAACAGGAAAATATTACCTTAGATTATCCAGGAGCTGCGGTAATCAGTGTGCTGAGGCTACAGCAGTCCCTGACATGAAGAACTCTTCTCCAACTATGAGGTTTGTTCAGATGCGAAACGGACCAGTCCAAACTTGAGGGGGGTGGACAGTGATGACAGACACTTTGTACCAGACCTTCCTGCTATTGGTGGGCTGAAGCCAGTGAGGGGGAAAATTTAAACAGGGTAAAGTAAACAGTAAAGTAGCTTAAATATGATCCTAATGCTACACTAGAGACGCGTCAGATGGGCGTCCTTAAAAATTTGATCCCCCCCTCTTTTGTGGCTCAGGTCCTCAGCCCCTCCACACTGGGTCATGTATCCAAGTAGGGCATCTCGGAAGCTGCAGCTGCATACTGACACAGAGAGGTTTTGTTCAGGGGGCTGAGCTGCTCTCTGGCTGGTTGGTACTGATGTAAAAACCTACAGGATGGCAGTGAATAGGGACTGCCAGCGTAGGAGTGTGTTTCTTGCATTCACTTCCTCTCTTGTTTTGTCCTGTATTTCACTGGGTTTTCACTTTATACCAATTACTGGCTTTTAGGGTTAGATATACACCGGACTCTAAAGGTGTAATTTTACATGTATAATCTTTAGGGATAATTTATGTATCTTATAGTGATTTCTTACTTTATTGGACTGTGTGTTAGCCTCTTCAGTAGGCTTTAAAATTATGGTGAGAGAGGTAAAAACAATCAAAACAATCCCAAGACAGAAATAGGAGGGGTTACAGTGGGAGGTATAAAAGGGTGAAGGGTGTTTGTTTCCATTTAAACATAAAGTAACACAGACAGGGTACGAAGATGTGTGAAAGATTGACTAATCTTTCACACATCAGCTCATCTTCTTCTTTGAGGCTGTACAAGCCTTGTTCCAGTAACAACATAATGCAACAGGTTTCCAAGATCAATGCAAGCTTAATGTTTTACTGAGAATTAGTTAGCAAATGCAACACCAACTTAATCCATTTATGCAGGAAAAGGCGAAATATGTTTTTGACTAGGGTAGATTTGTTATCCCTTGGCCATGCTGATAACTAACAGTTGTAGGTCTCATTTTGGTCCTCATCATCTTTCTAACAGCGACACTTCCCATCTTGAGAAACTAACAAATGACCCAAAAGAATTTGCTAGAAATGTTGTCATTATCTTAGATCAATGTCTCAACTTCAACCAGCATGTCAAACATTAAGTTCAGACTTGCGGTGTAAGTTACCTTACCTTACCT